CGCACCGTTTCCTGTGCATCCCTCGCACCTCTGCCCAGTTGGGTCCAGCTGGGCCTGCAGGGTCTGACCCGCTGAGCAGATGGGAAGGCTGAGGGTGTCTCCGCTGCATGTCCTGTGCCTGCCGCTGGTTTTCCTGGGGCCCAGAGCCTCTCAGACCCTGCTATGCAGTGAGACAGCCCTGCTGCCGTGGAACCCAGCGCCCCGAGATCGGCGCTGGCCTTCCTGTGGCTGCCCCCCGTGGCCTGCTGTGGCCTTGCTGTGGCGTGGGCGCCGTGGACGCGTCTCTGAACTTTCCCTCACTCCTCTCCACTTCTGCCTCTGATCCTCTGGACGGGACTCCCCTTTTCTTGTTCCCTCTGCCTCAGGGTCTCCCAGGGTCATTGTCACCTTCAGGAAGTGAAAGGCCACAGTCACTTGCAGAGACAGGCGCGGGACCTCGGCTAAGCAGAAAGTGGGGACCGAAGATCTGGAGAGAACCTGTGCCAAGCACGGCCCAATCGGGGCTGACCTGCGGCGGGTGGGTCTTTCCTCCCGGTGAGGACGCCGAGGACGCTGTCTCATCCAGCTTCCGCACGGCCCCGGGGGTGCCCGGCTGCAGCCCCACCCCCATCGTTCGGCTCAGCGGGTGGCTGGTTGTGGCCCCTCTGACTCCTGTGGGTGGAGGAGGAGTGGTTCTCAGAAGGCAGGGAGGCAGGGCAGCCCGGCAGAGCAGACCTAACAAAGCCGTGTGCCCCGGATGAGCCTGTCCTCACTCTGACTTTCCCTGACCCTGTCCTCAGACCTGGAACAGCTGCCCCCAGCCTATCCCTGCTCCCAGTCCCCCCCACCCCAGCAGATGCCATCCTGCTCCTGGTTGGGTCCATCTCAGACAGGGTCGAGGGGCGCTGCTGCTTGTGGGTGAACCCCACTTCTGAACCTGAGGCTCCTGCGCAGCACCTGGGGGGTGGACAAGCCCCAAACCTCCTGCCCGGCCCCAGAGCCCTGGGCCAGAGCCTCTGAGGGGACCTTGAGCCAGTATTTTTTTTTTTTTAAGGATTTATTTATTTGAAAGTCACAATTACAGAGAGAGGGGTGGAGAAAGAGAGAGAGAGAGAGAGAGAGTTCAACCTTCCGTCCACTGGTTTACTCTCCAGATGGCAGCAATGTCCAGGCAGGAGCCAGGAGCTTCTTCCTGGTCTCACATATGCATGGCAGGAGCCCAAACACTTGGGACATTTCTGCTTTTCCCAGGCCATTAGCAGGGAGCTGGATCAGAAGTGGAGTAGCCGGCACGCCAGTCGGCACCCATATGGGATCCTGGCATTGCTGATTGTGGCTTCACCCTCTATGCTACAACCCTGAGTTGGTATTTAAAAAAATTTTTTTTGAGAGGCAGAGAGAAACACATATCCCCTCCCACCATCCCCACACACACCACAGATCGAGCTCCCGTCTGTTGATTCCTGCTCCAGGTGTGCACAGTGGTCCCAGTTGGGGCTGGATCCAGGTACCTAGAACTCCATCCAGGTCTCCCCCAGGTGCCAGGGACCCAGCCACGTGAGCTGCCACTGCTGCTTCCCGGGGTCTGCGTTAGCAGGAAGCTGGAGTCTAGCCTGAAGCCCAGGCATTCGGGATAGGACGCGGTAACCAGCGTCTTAACCTCTTAACTGCTGGCCATGCCCGCCCCTGAGGTAGTGTTTTAGAAAGGCACCGGTGGTGGTTCTTGGGCCACCTGCCCTGGGCGTGGGAGCCGCAGGCCCCTGGGGACAGGACAGGCTGTGCAGTGACATTCGAGCCTCTGGGGCATGTGCTGCGTGTCTGTCCTGTGCTCCCTGCCCTGCCGGCCCTCTGGGTGGCTCCTGTGCTCCTGCACCCCCAGATACCCCTCCCCATCTCCTCTTCTCCTCCCTGTCCGTAAGCCTCCGCCGCTCTCTGAGATGACAAATGCTGCCTCCTCTCTGAAGCCTCCTCTGATTGCTCTCCTCCCTCCCCTGAAAGGAGCAGTCGTGTTGTATTTAAAATTCCCCGAGGGTCTGCTCCCCTTGGACCTGTGAAGCAGCTTTTGGAGAAGCAGGTGTGTGTGCAGGGGTTGCTGGGTAGCCGCGCCTAAGCAGAATCTGTGAAGAAGGTGAGGCTCGCCTCTGGGTGCACGTTTCCAATAAAGCACATTAAGGATTAGACTTGAATTCCTACCGTTACTTTTCCTTTTGTTTGGAAGTTATGTTTGTGCTTATTGTAGAAAATGCAGGAAATACAGGGAGTACGGGGCGGGGGACCCACACGGTGGTTCCCACCGTCCTGGGCCCTGCAGCCTCTGTTCCCACCGCAGGGCACGCCCTTCCTATCTGGTTCCTGGGCACTGATCCGATTGTGGATTTAGAGGTGGGCAGGTCCTAGGCAGGTCGGGGTGGGGCCTCCATCTTGCCCCACTTCCGGCCCTCTGCTATCCTCCGGCGTCACCACTGTGGGCCAGTGGGGCGGGCTGGTCTTGGACTGTGAGCCCTCCCCCCATGCCCCAAGCTGTAGCCCCGAGATAAACCCCCTTCCTTCCTAAGCAGCTGTTCTGGGGAGTCTCAGTCGAAGTGGTGAAGGACTGCCCGAGACCACGGGCGCTGCAGCCCGATGGCCGCTCTGCCACCTTTCCTGTTCCCTCCCGACCCGATCCCTCCCCTGCCTCCCTCTGTCCGCCAGCTCTTGGGCGGGGTCCACTCTGTGTCAGGTGCGGGCGATGTCGGCAGCTAGTTGCATGCATTATTTCAAAAAGACGCTTTTCCAGTTTTTGAGAATGTGTTGCAGGCACGTGGCTCAGAATCCGGGAGATGCCGGAGGGAACCCCGTGAGAAGGAAGTCTCCCCCTCCCCCCACCCCGCCCCTGGCCTGGGCGGGTCTGTGTGTGCTCCGGCGGCTGCACCCACACTCACCCCGGCCGTCCTTAACACACGCGCTCGCAGGCAGCGTTTGCCGCCCGCCCTTCTCACACGGCACGTCTCGGAGAGGAGTCCTTACGGCCTCACCAGTGCTTCCTGGTTCTTTTTCACTCTTGGGTGGTGTGGCCTTGGCCCCTCTGGGGGAGGGGGCTCTAGTTTGCTGTCAATCATTTGTGATCACAGAGGGGCTGGCAGTGAACGCTGCAGAGCCTAGAACGTTCTGCGCCACATCGGAGTGTGTCCGGCGTGGCGAGGTGGGATGGTGGCGTTGGGGTTCCCAGGAGGGACCGTCAGCCACCTGACAGCCTGCTCTCCTCTTTCTGCCCCCAGCCCCATACTTCCATTTCCGAACCTCTGGCTGTGGCAGGAGTTCAGGGAGCCGCTCCTTAGTGCTGCACGGGGGTCGGCGCCGTCACCCTGCCATCACCCTGCAGAGGTTCCTGACGAAGGGCGGAGCCCCGAGCAGGCTGTGGTGCTGTGCGTGGGGTTTGCGCGCCTGTCGGCCTGCCCACCTGCTCCCCAGTGCCCCGCAGCCCTGCAGGCTGAGGCCGGGCTTGTCTTCCTCCATGCCCTGCTGCACCTGGCCCAGGGCTCGCCGCTTGGCCCCGCCCTCCCTGCGGGGCTGTGAGATGGCAGTGGCAGTGGGGTGCCGGGTGTCTGCTCTGCCTGTGCGGCCCGGGGTGGGATGGGAGGGGGAGCTGAGCCCCTCCGCCCTTCCCTGCTGGAGTCTCTGTTTCTCCTGCTCTTGGAGCTCTGAGCTGCAGAGGAGCTCAGCCCCACTAAGGCTTCAGCCCATTTTTTCTCCCCGGATGACTTTCTTGCTTGCCTCCTTATTTTCTGTGCTCCATCTGCTTTCAAAGCTACCGTTCTTTCTTTTTTTAAGGCCTGGGAGAGGGAGAGCTGTGGAGCTATAAATGTGGACGCATTGGCCAGAGCCTTGTGCCAGATAATCCGGATGCCGGCGGGATGCACTTGGAGGGAAACTGAGTCCTCAGCCCTGAGGGTCGTGAATGCCCGCTGCACGGTCCACATTCCCGGTCATTTGGGAGTTAGGGCTTCCGTCTGGAGCAGTGGCAGGGGCCACACAGAAGCTCGGCTGGCAGGCGTGAGCCGCGTGCCGTGTGCCCTGGGGCAGGTTCCGTCTCTGATGCCCGGTTTTCTCACCTCTACAGCAGGCAGGATGGTTGGGAATTGAGGCGCGGCGGGGGGCGGGGCACTGGGGGCTCACAGGTGCTCGTAATTCGGTGTGGGTTGTAAGCCAGGGATCTGGTGTGGCCCAGGATCCTCGTGCCGCTGTCTGTCCCCTTGCCCGGGCTCTGGTGGCCAGGGCTGTGCTGCCCGTGTCCAGCCCGTCCCCCGTGGAGTCGTGGGAGCCGTTGGGTGCCGGCTGCCGCCTCTTCTGCAGCCTTGGAGAGGCTGAGTGATGGTGAGGGCCGCCGAGGGCCTGGGCCACTGTGGTTGTCAGCCTGGGCCTTGGAGTCCTGTCTCGGGGCTGCGGGGGCGCAGCGGGGCACTCCCTGCAGCAGGTCCTGGTCACTGGCTGCTGCACTGGCTCCCTACAGGGCCCACTCAGGAGCTGCTGGTGGAGCTCGCTGCCAGGGCTGGCTCTGTGCGCGAACATCAGTGGCGCTGGCGACGTGAGAGTGGGAGAAGCAGCTGGCACAGGGCTGGGGAGGGGTGGGGGCCTGCGAAGGCCTCGGCTGCCTGTGTGTGTGCCGGGGCAGGGGCTAGCCGGCCATGAGAGCGGGGGCAGACCTGGGAGGCAGGCGAGGGGTTGGTCCGAGGTGGGAGGGCGTGGAGGGCCACAGGCCGTGGTTGATGTACGCAGGGGTGAGGTTGGTGCCAGGAAGGGTCTTGGACTGATCAGCCTGGGGCTCTGCCTGTGATGGCCTGGGCTGGGGATCGGGGAGGGGGATCTGCAGGACCCCAGCCAAGTCCTCTGGGGAGTCAGCCGGCCCCTGCAGGTAGAGGGTGGTCTGGGGGCTCCTCAGTCTCTCCAGCTCTCCCCGCGCCCTCCCGGGCTCTGGAGAACCTTCCGGAAAGGACCCCCCCCCCACCTGCTGGAGTAACGCTTGTTTTTTGTTTTCTCTGCAGGAAGCGCGGGATCGAAGTCGTGCAGGTGAGTACAGACCTTGTCCTGCCGTGGGGTCTCTCTTCACACGTGGTGTGGCTCGGTTTCGGCGTTTGCCCCAGGGAACTTGGGCAGGGAGGCGTTGCTGTGGTCTTCCTTGGGGGTGGAGTCTGTGTGAGGGGAGAAGGTGCTTCTGGGAGTCCCGGGGGGCTGTGGAGGTGGGGGGCTCCTGCTGTGTGGGCCCCTGTGCTGCCTGCCCACTGAGGGCACCTGGGTCAGGCGCTCCTTGGCTGCAGAAGGAAGGGTAGGTGGAGGGAGCGGGAAGGGAACGCTGGTGGGTGCGGGGTGGGTCAAGCGTCCTGGGCCCACAGCGGCCAGCAGAGGACTCCCTGCCCCTGGGCCTGAGCGGGGTGGGCAGCGCGGGGCTGGGGGCCGTGTCCAGCAGCTCTGGGGAATGATTGCCGAGTTCTGCCTCCCCGCCCCTGTGGGGGATGGAATTCGTGTGTTGAACCTGTCACCAGGCAGCCGCGGTTTGTTTGGGGCCAGGGAGGTGGTGTCTGGAAGGCTCGCGTCCACTGTAGGTTTTTCATCCAGGCTCATCTTGGCTCCGCAAAGTTGCGTGACCCGTGCTGAGCTTTTCTGTGGCCCTGATTTCCCCATCTGTCAAGCGGAGGACACTGGAGTCCAGGAGCGGCGAAGAGGCGTGCCTTCAGGGCCCGTTTCCCGCCGGCTGGTCCCGGCTGCCTGGGAGAATTCTGCTTTAAAGACTGATTTTATTTATTTGAAAAGCAGAGTGACAGAGACAGGGAGAACTTCCCTTTGCTGATTTATTCCCCAAATACAGCAATAGCCCAAGCCAAGAGCCTGGACCTGCATCCAGGTCTCCCATGTGGGTGGCAGGGGCCCAAGGAGCCGCTTTCCCGGCGTGTGACCAGGGAGCCGGCTCAGAAGTGGAGCAGCCAGGACTCAAGCCAGCGCTCATATGGGATGCTGGTGTCACAGGCATTCATTGGTTTAACCCGCGGCGCCACAATGCCGGCCCCCTGGGGGATTCTTAGTTTGGGCATGGGTGAGGACAGCGGCTGATTGGTAATGCCCAACGCCTGCCCAGGGCATGGGAGTGGGCAGAGGAGGTGCGGTCGGTTGCAGGCTTCCTGTGGACAGGTCCTGCCCCGAGGTGCTGTGGCTCCTGCTTGTCTTACACCTGTCTGATGGCTGGCTGCAGTGCCGGATCCTTTGCCACTCCACCTGCTGGGAGGTAGAGCTGGAGCCGCAGCTCGCTCTGTGAGGGAAGGTTCTGGGGCTTCCCTGCCGTTCATTACAGCCACGTGGGAGGGCCCACGAGGGGACTACTGCTAGAGCTGTTTTTAGAGGCGCTGTCTTGCTCACCAGCGAATGCACAGCTTCACAGGGAAACAGTATCCCCACCCCCACTCCCCGCCCCGTTGCTGATTCCTGTTCACACAGTGTCCTGAACCGAAGCCCAGCAGGATGTCCCCTCTCCCTGCCCTCACTGCCACCATGCGGGGAGAGAGGGGTGTGCAGGAGGCAACCAGGGGTCGGTGGGTTTGGTTTCCGTGGCTTTCCAGGAAGATGGAGAGCAAAGCCTGTCATCCGCGTGCTCTGAGTGAGACAGGAGACCAGAGCCATTGCTTTCCAACAGGCCAGGCAGGAGAAGATTGGAAAATCTCTGTGGATGAGCCTGCTGCTCATTTTGGTGGTGGCTAGGGACCAGAGTGGAGCCAAACAGGATGCTTCCCCCAACCCCCACCCCCGGCCTCTAAAAATAAAACCCACCAGCGCCTGGCATCCCTGCGTGTTTGGAGAACATTTACATTTCAAGACGTTGAGAAAGGCTCTTTGCACGATTGGAAGCCCAAGCACTTGGCTGGTTTTTCAACATCAGCTGGGCTTCTGTGCGTCAGATCCCAGCTGCCCGGCCCCTGGAAGTGGGTGACAGCAACCACGCAGCAGCCGCCACAGGCGCCCCCTGTGTCGGCTGCTCCGATGGACGACGTCCCCTTGAGTACAGCCACCCAGCTGTGTGGCTGCGGCTGCGTCCCCAGGAGAGGTGGGGGGGGGGGCACCGAGGTTCCGGATGTGTGGGCTCTGCTGGGGAGGCCAGGGGGCTGGTGGCAGAGAGCAGCTCTGTGTGGCTCCAGAGCTCAGGGACCATCTCCTCCACGCGTTCCGGGCCGCTCAGGTCACCGAGGGCTTCCCAGTCTGGGAGGGTGGCTGGGCTTAGCTGCTGTCTGTTCAGAGGATGTTGGGGCCTTGGGTCAGGACCCAAGTTGGGAAAACGCTGATAAGATCCTGTGGGATTTTTCCTGGTCATGGGCGTCACTTCTCTTCCTGCCACTTAATGGCCGCAGTAACAATATCAACTGCGTATTTATTGGGGACTGCTTGTACCGGGCACTGGTGCTGCTTACTTTGGAGAGGAGCTATGTGTCTCCGTCCCGAGGTGGGGGTGGGGGCATACTGAAGACAATGAGCTCTCAGCTCCTCGATGCTCCTCCTGCGCTGGTCCCACCCCTGGTGTGCCTGGGAAGGAGCAGGTTACCCTCCCTCCCACACCTCCCCCCTCCCTGCAGGGGCAGAGCGTGGCGGGGAGCAAGGCTGCCTGCTTGGGTGAAGTTCCTGGTGGTGTGACCTTGTGCTGGGGGCCTAACCACTCTGTGTGTCAGTCTGCCCATCTGTAGAATGGGGGTCCTCGTGGTGCCTGTCCCTGCGGGCCTTGTGAGGACTGAGTTAACTCGTGTAAGGGAGTTGGCAGCAGCTCTGGCGTGGGAGAAGCTGGTGATGTGCTGGGCTATCGCACCCTGAGCTGCACACACAGGAGGCCCGAGTCCTGTGTGAGTCCTGTGGGCCGTTGTAATCCTGGGGCTGGGGAGGCATTTCCTGTTCCTTGCTTGCCACAAAATTGCAAGAGGACCTGCTGGACATGAACACTGAGTTCCGATGGCAGATCGCTGTCCTTCTTGGCATGCAGTTCTTTTCTTTTCTTTTCTTTTTCTTTTTTCTTTTTTTGACAGGCAGAGTGGACAGTGAGAGAGAGAGACGGAGAGAAAGGTCTTCTTTTTGCCGTTGGTTCACTCCCCAATGGCCGCTGCGGCCAGGCACGCTGCGACCAGTGCAGCACACTGATCTGAAGCCAGGAGCCAGGTGCCTCTCCTGGTCTCCCATGGGGTGCAGGGCCCAAGGACTTGGGCCATCCTCCACTGCACTCCCTGGCCACAGCAGAGAGCTGGCCTGGAAGAGGGGCAACCGGGACAGAATCCTGGCGCCCCGACCAGGACTAGAACCCGGGGTGCTGACGCCGCAGGCAGAGGATTAGCCATGGTGAGCCTCGGCAGTGCAGTTCTAAAGAAATTCAAAGACTGGGCTACTGATGAGTCTCTTTCTGTTCTCCATTTGAACAAGTAGTTTCAGCCCTTGGCTTGAAAAACATAAAATGGAGATAGAACTGATCAATGCTGTCTTACCGTAGCGACAGGTAATTCTCACCTGTGCATGTGGGAAGTCATTTTTGAGTAGTTCCAGTCATCTCTTCATAGATGGATTCCCAGTTTTTTTTTTTTTTTTTTAATTTTTTGACAGGCAGGCAGAGTGGACAGTGAGAGAGAGAGAGACAGAAAGAAAGGTCTTCCTTTGCCGTTGGTTCATCCTTCCAATGGCCTGCCGCGGGCGGCAGGCTGCGGGCGGCGTACCACGCTGATCTGAAGGCAGGAGCCAGGTGCCTTATCCTGGTCTCCCATGGGGTGCAGGGCCCAAGCACTTGGGCCATCCTCCACTGCACTCCCGGGCCACAGCAGAGAGCTGGCCTGGAAGAGGGGCAACCGGGACAGAATCCGGCGCCCCAACGGGGACTAGAACCCGGTGTGCCGGCGCCGCAAGGCGGAGGATTAGCCTAGTGAGCCGCGGCGCCGGCCCCCCAGTTTGGTTTTTTAAATGCTTATTACGCGCTCAGTTTTGTTTCTTTCAGGTTGATCAATTGTGTCCTACTAGTAATGGTAATGATAATCCAGTCTCGAAGAAAACTTTGGAATTAAGAGCTTTATGGTGACATGGAGTTTTCAAGATAGATCACTTACGCACATACAGTTTGTGGGTTCAGTAGTAGAACTAGAGTGATCGGTAAAGGTTTCCCAAGGTAACCCCGTGACAGTGCAACACTGCTGAGGGGAGAGGGCTGGAAATGGAAGTGCATGGAGGAGAGAGAGCGTTGTTAGTGCCTGCAGCTGATAAAGAAGGCCTTGGCTCTGCGCCTTCACCGTGGATGAGGGTGGAGCTCGAACCGCTAAGGGATTTAGAGTCCATTGGATCCATTTGAAAGAGAAAGAGTAACAGTTTTATTTTAAAATGTTAATATTTACAGTATATTGGAAATTACATCCTCTGAAAGTATCTAAACTTGTGATGAGAAATTTAGATGTGGGCTTAAAAATGTGCAAATAGATACAAAGTTTCCAACACTTAGGAGGGGGTTCCTGGCTCCAGGGACTGCTTTAGAAATTGTTCCACCACTGAGGTCTCAGGACCAGGCTCCCTGGCAGATGTCTCTTCCTGGAGGGACAGCCGTGGGCCTGGCTCCCGTGGGCCTGGCTCCCGTGGGCCTGCTCCCTAGGGCTGGGCCAGGCCTGTGCTTCCCCTGAGACCCAGAAGGGCGCACCAAGATTTCTTCTGGCCATGGCCTTGTCTGTGCACCAGCTGGGTTTCCTTAACCTGGTCTGCAGGCCAAGTGGTGATAATGCTGAGGGAGCCACGCCCCTGCCCAGGGCTGCTCACAGAGTAAGAGGCTGCGGCGGGGAGGGGGGAGGGGGGCGGCGGCCAGAACTCCAAGACTCAGGAGCAAGGGCCCTGCTCCGTGGTTAGTGCTGGGAGCTGGGCTGGGGGACCAGGGTTGTGGGACGAGGTGTCCCCAGCTGGGAGCCCTGAGGCCCACCTGTCGTGACTGTGATGGTTGCGGGTACCCATTTGCCTCAGTTTCTACCCCTGCAGTGAGGGAGTGAGGGTGCTGCACACAGGTGTTCACAGGTGGTCTCCCT